GCTCCGGCCCCATCTCTGGACCCGGCGTTAGCAGCATCCCCACCCCCTCCTGCCCACCCCATCCCCGCCGTGCCTTGCCTTCCCAGCTTCTCCAGCCCCAGGTCCCCGAGATCCCTCCTGGGAAGGGTCTTGCGTCCAGGACTGACTTGTTGACGAGTTCACCTGCCGTGGCGCCTAGTATTTGCCTTTTCTTTTCTCCCCATTGCCCATCACTGGCAGAGGTGGCAGGGAGCAGATGGGTACCTTTATATAACCGCTAATAGCAGAAGGCTTGAGCTTGGTCTCCCGCGGGCAAGGTGCTCACCAGCCTTGGACCAGACTGGAGCGAGTCCCTAAGCAGGCCAGGTCCCTGCAAACCCTGGCAAGCCTGTTTCCTTTGGGTGCGCTGACACCGCCTTTCCTGCCCCGCGGCTGTCGCAGCTCCGGCTTCCTCTAGGAATGAACATATCCTGTTATTACGTCTGCCTTTGCCCAGAGCAGCTCCCCATTAACCTTTCGCACTGTGTTTTTACTTGGAGTGCCCCCAAGGCCCCTCAGCTTCTCTTCGAGGATCTCAAAAATACTGCGCCCTTCCCTGGCGAAAAGCATTAACTGCCTGGTTGCGGAGAGTTACAGTTTAGAAAGGGAATCAGGTTCACTTCTGTTTAGATAGCTTGAAAAATAAGCAAGAGGAAGGGTTCTTGGGTGGCAGCCTTAGTAACTGAGATCTGATAACTTTATAAAAATTATCAGGGCCTGGAAAATATACTACCAGCTGGTTTGAAGATGATACTGAATGTAGGAAGAAAGGCACATAAGGCATTGGCCATTAAGGTCCTGTAAATTATGACTCATTGCGAACACGTTCATATCCAAACATTTCAGTCAAGTCTCTTCGGAAAAATATCAAGCTGGTTTCGGTGGACCTTTAGTTTAGATTTTTTTTCTGAGATCTGAACTGTTCCATGGGGTGGGGGAGTGAAATAGGAAATGCTTATTAGTTTGAAATCTGTGCTCCAGACTGAGTTTCTTAGCTTCTGTTTAAACATATACATACTAAAAATACTTTCAAGTGACTTTTCAAATAAGTTTTTTTTAAGGTTTTGGTCTTTATTTTTGAAACATCATGTGTAGAGAATATCATAGAGGCAAAATCAGTTGATAATCCTTAGTAGTTTGTTTATCACTGTTTAGTTTTTAGACTGCCATGTTTATATTTAATTTAAGGAGATGTAGCTTTTCTAATTGTATTTTTTTGGATCATACAAAGAGTAAAGAGTTGTACTGTTATTAAAGATGAATCTTTAGAAAATAATAGTTAAGCTGTTGAGTACTAATTATAGTAGTGAAGAGACCCAAGGTTAAAAAGCTGACCATAGAAACTCTACCCATGGGACATTAAATGCTGAGGACACTGGGTGGTAAATGCCTGGGAAATTTATTTTATAGTTTCCTTTCTTTCATTTGGCACACCTGGCTATATCAGGCTGCTTTCTCTGAGCATCTTTATTGCCATACATTTCTCTCCATGTCAACCTTATGAAAAATACAGAAAATTTTCAAAAGAAAACCTTCAAAACTGCTGCATTTTCAGTTTATTTGACTAAACAGCATCTCCCCCCCCACCCCACCCCCCCAGGTTCAGATAGTTTTATCAGAGGAAGAGAAGTGTGGCAACTGTGGAATGACGTAGCAGGGTAAATCTGTAGAGGTGTGAACTTTAAAGTTACAGAAACCTCATTTAGGACAAGGTGGTGAAGTTGATAGTCACAAGAACCAGGAAGAATTTTTCCTCTTTATTGGTTGAGCCCCACAGCTAGAAGCCTGAGGGTAGGTGACAACGTTTAGGATCAACTCACTGGCCACTAATGTCCTTTTTTTTTTCCATTTGCACCATCAGATTTATGGGAACCATGGACAAGGATGCTATGTGTATGTATTTGTCCATGAGACAACATAGATCATTAGTTAATTAACCTTATTCCCATCCTTACCCTCATCCACAACCTTCCTCAGCAGAGCCTTAAACTCAGATACCATTACAGGAGAAATATTTTTTCCCATCTTTTTCCCCAAGCAGTCATGTTTTATATCACAATCATATCTAGCATTGTGGAGGAGGTGCACAGGACACACAGGCTTTGGATCCAAATGGAGCAGGATTGGAAATCCAGCTGCAACAGCTAATTAATCATGTGACCTTGAGCAAGTTACTTAAGCTTTCTATGTCATCATTTCCTTACCTATATAGCAAGAATATCCACCTTGTGGGATTGTGATGGGGATTAAAGATAATTTATATATAATTTATATAAAGTGCTTTCCACAGTAAATAGGTCTTCAGTAATAGCAGTAAATTATTCTTTCATGTGCTAAACATATGTGATGTCTTTATCTGAAAAGGAAGCTACTGCTTTTCCCCTGTGATAGAGAATGTGTTCCAGTTTGGTTTGGAGTAGTTCAAATGATTTTGTACCCGTACTGAGAACTTAGGCTTTCTGGAATCCTCCCTAAAGTTGGGGAATGCAATCTGTGGTCCAGGAACAAAGCAAAGCTAATTTGTTCCAGTGGGAGTAAATCTGCTAAACCAATACCACTCAAATGTGATCCGTAGACTAGCAGCATTGACGTCCCTTGAGAGCTTGTTAGACACACAGCCTCTCAACCCACCCTCAGCTCTCTCCACACCTACTGAATAAGAGTCTGCGTTTTAACAAAATCCCTAAGTGATTCATGTGTACGTTAAAGTTTGGAAAGGAGTGTTCTAAACTGGTATTTATCAAACTTTGTGTCCAATAGAATCGTTTGAGGGCTTGTTGAGTGTGGATTCCTAGCCTGGCTTCTCCCATCTGCTGTTGACACCTTAGGTGGCTCTGATGCCCAGGATTCCTCCACTACTCTGAAAAAGACTGCACTAAACCCTTCATTTAGCATAGTGCACTAAGGTGGGCCTATGTCCTCTTCTTCAACAAAGCATTTTGGTGAACATAGTCTTTGATAGTCAACCCCATTTGAGGTGAGTAGCTAATATAATCCCTATCTATCTGATAAGAAAATGAGGACTACAGGCATGGTTTATCCTGGATAATGCATGTGGTAGAACTGTCTCGAACCTCTATAAATCCTAGTTGACCATGCTTTAACTACTCCAGCATCCAAATTAATGCACTGTGTGTGTGTGTGTAGGTAATTTCAAATACTAATGAATCTCTCCCAGGACAGCAATGACCATACATAATACAGCATCTTATACATGCTTTTAAAACAAAGCCTTGCTTCAGTGTGACTGTAGGCTGATTACTTAGGATGAGTAACTGATTTTGAGCTTCGTCCATAAAGTGAGGATGATGTCTGCTGGACAGTGTGGTAAGCATACTGTGCGCAAAGTGTGCATCTCAGTGTCTGAGAAGTGGTAGTTCCTCAACTAATGGTAACTATTTTTCCCGATGTAAACCTAGTAAAGAGAATGAGTTTACAGAAGGCTGAGAAAATGGCATTGCTCGTGATGAGAAGTCTCTCCTGCTAAGTCAGTCAGATGATGTCACTCATCAGGACTTCAGCCACATCAGAAAGTGGGGTCACTACTCAGTTTTCAGTAGGCATTAGTTGTGTGTGTGCCATGTGCCATGCTCAGTGCTGGTCCTGGGAGTCCCAGGACAAGACCCAGACCTTACCCTGCTCTGAAGGAGCTTCTAGCCTGGTGAGGGAGTTAGAGGAGTCAGGTGACAATTACATTTCAGCAAAGGCAGGGACGGGTTGGAGCCCAGAGAATAGGTACCTAACCCAGACAAAAGAGAGAATAGGGAAAACCTAAGAAGATTCATGGAGGAGGTCACCCTTGAGTTGAGCCTTAAAAGACCAATAGGAATTTGGCATGTCAAAAAATGTTGGAAATGGAGAGAGCGTTCCCAATACAGTACCCAGGTATACAAAGGGAGAGAATACAGGTGGAGAATACTGAGAGAGAATACCCGCAAATAGCCCTGACGTCTTATGCCTAGTGTCCATGTGTGTCCCTTATTAGCCGAGTGACTTTGGGCAAGTTTGATCATCTGTGACTTGAGAGGATTAAATGTATTAATCAGGGTAAGCACAGGACTGAGTTTAATTATGTGCTGGGTAGTCTGGAGAGGTGGTAGAGATCTTAGTAGAAAATAGGGGACTGACTTTAAAAATCATGAGAATTAGAGTAAATTAAGAGGTCAATTTTAGAATACACTT